AGAAACACAAACTCTGAGGCTCCATCCCAGATGTACTAAATCAAAAACTCTAGGGACGGTCTTTTGTCTGTTTTGCAATAAGCCCCCTGGATGGTTCTGATACATGCTCAGGTTTAATAACCACTGCCTCAGAGTCAGTAACAACTTTGTAAGGAAAAGATGCTTTCTTTACTATCAGGCTCATTTACATAATTGATACCTCTTGATAATTAAGTCATCTAAGATCTCTTATTCTTCTCTTTGTCTCTAAACTGTACTGGAAAAGTGCAACAGCTCCATTTTAAACAACTGTTACTTACATATTCTTCCCCTGTCCACACACAGTTAAATGGTTTAAAGGTAGAAGACAAATAATTAATTACATTAGAGTTACACAATGCAAAACATCATTAACAACAACAACCTGATTCTTCTGAAAACAAAATAGGCCCAATTGTCCAAATTAATCAAATGAGTCTCCCTAGAAATCTAGTTTGGTTTGTGAATGTGAGAACATTTGTGTCCTAGTACTCAATATTTTGAAGCACCACCATTCTGTTTCTTGGAGATGATGAAGCAGCTGAGAGTCCATTCTTATCCCTATGCAACAATAGTAGAATTCATATCTTCTTGCCCCACACCCTCTTCTCCATGGGAGTGAAGGCAAATGGAAGAAATGAAATAAACTAGACAAGAGCTGAACTAAATTGAGTGATGTTTTAATTATATGCCTTCCTTCTGAGTTGCTGAGTTATAAAAGTGTCCCTCTTTTTATAGTTTTACATTATAAGTAAAATGATTTGTTGTTGCTCAGTTGCTAAGTTGCATCCAGCTCTTTGCGACCCCATGGACTGCAGCAGGCCAGGCTTCCCTGTCCTTCACGATGTTGCAGTTTGCTCAGACTTGTGTCCATTGAATCAAGGATGCCGTCCAACCAACTCAAGTAAAATGATGGAATTTATTTTTTGATAAGACTATATACTTATCCTTGTGTACAAGAACCAACTGTATACAACTACTGGTGAATTGTTTTATAAAGAATTAGTGAAAGTCAGGGAAGTCTGACGTGCTGCCATCAGGAGGGTCGCAAGAGTCAGACACAACTTAGCAACTGAACAACAACAATAGTTTGAAAATGAAATGGGCATCTTAAAAAACAAAACTCAAAAGTTGTCCATGGGCAGCGGCGGTGGCGGCAGGGCATTGTGACGGCCGGCGTGGGCTGTCTCCCGAGCGCACTCTGCCGGCTACGCTCGCGGCCCTGGCCGACCGTCGTGCGGCCGGCGCCACGTCTGTGAGTGAGACCTTCGTGGGCTGCAGGGCTTTTTGGCTGCAGGACATCCGAGAGGAAATCTGAAAAGTTGTACAGAGTTTAGAACAAACAGCTCGAGAGATTTAAACTCTACTGAAAGGGGTCCATCAGGGTGCTGGGTTTCAGGACATTCCAAAGAGGCATTTGAAAGCTGGAGAACATTTTGGTACAGTAAAAACACATCTAATGTCTTTGAGGAGAAGGCAGTGGCAGCCCACTCCAGTACTCTTGCCTGGAAAATCCCATGGGCGGAGGAGCCTGGTGGGCTGCAGTCCACGGGGTCGCAAAGAGTCAGACACGACTGAGCGACTTCACGTTCGCTTTTCACTTTCGTGCACTGGAGAAGGCAGTGGCAACCCACTCCAGTGTTCTTGCCTGGAGAATCCCAGGGACGGGGGAGCCTGGTGGGCTGCGGTCTATGGGGTCGCACAGAGTCGGACACGACTGGAGCGACTTAGCAGCAGCGGCAGCAACGTCTTTGAAGACCAAGTTTCCTGCGGAACAGTGTTACAGGTTTCACGAGCACTGGAGGGTTGTGCTGCACTTCTTGGTCTTCTTGGCAGCGTTTTTTGTGTACTTGGGAGTCCGAAACCATAGTGAGCGGAGAAGCGGTTACCGAGATCCTTGGCATTGAGCCTGATCAGGAGAAGGGATCTCACTTGGATGTGGAAGATTATCTCTCGGGAGTTCTCATTCTCGCTAGTGAACTGTCGAGGTTGTCCATCAACAGCATGACCGCCGGAGACTACTCCCGGCCCAGGCACATCTCCACCTTCATCAAACGAGCTGGATTCCAGCTTCTGCCTCCTCAGCCTCAAAAACGATTCCCCGAGGAAGTGCTACGACGGCCTGAAGTAAGATGTGAAGAAAATGGAGGAGGTGGTCTATGATCTCTCCCTCTGTGGCTTCCACGGGGAGCTGGCAGCAGCCTGCGTGAAGCAGGGGGCTCCCTCGGGCCCTGCTGACTCCAGCGGTGCCCACCAGGCCCAGTCCAGCGCCTGCCATAGTAGTTAGAATGCCCCGTCATTTCTTAACTGGTTGTGTGGTGTTTCAGAGTTGAAACACTTTTTAGGGGGTGACAGAATAGTCTTTACAAGGATAGGTTTTTCTTTGTTGTTTTCGGTGAATTTGCTTTGTAACTCAGTATTTACTCCAGTTTTGTCAGAAAACGTACATGTCCATCTCTTGGTAAAGTTCTTTTCTTGCTTACCACCTGCCCCCACCCCCGACACCAAAAGAAGTTGTCCATTGTACAATGCTAATACAAGAGTTTTTCATAATGTTTCTGTAAACATTATTTTATGTTATTTTGTCTTATTTAATAATGTTATTGATAATTCAATATACTATTATAATGATTCAGATATGTCATGTCACAAATTGTTCCCTGAAATATAATTACAAATCTAATGGGTTACTAAGTTCTTTAAATATCTCTCATCATTCTTAGAAATAAATCTTTGCACATACAGCAGTATAAAAGATATTCTTAATCTGTTCTCTTCATTCTGATTTAAGTTCCCTCATCTTTTCTAAAAATTTTTTGTTGAAATAGCATTGATTTACAATGCTGTGATAGTTTCAGATGTCCAGAAAGTATTTCAATTATAGATACATATATATATATATATGTTCTTCTTAATATTACTTTCCATTATAGGTTATTATAAAATATAAAGTATAGTTCCCTATGTTATACAGTAGGTCCTTGTTGGTTATCTGTTTTATATATAGCAGTGTGTATGTTCTAATCCCAAACACCTAATTTATGCCTCCTCCCCTTTGCCCTTGGTAACCATAAGTTTGTTCTCTGTGTCTGTAAGTCTATTTCTTTTTTTTTTTTTTCCTTATTTAAAACTTACAACTCTTTATTTTGCAATAATTACAAATTAATAGGAAGGTGCAAAAATAGTACAGGGAGTCCCAGTTTCCCCCAGTGGTAAGATCTTACACATCGCTATAGTCCAACTTCAAAACCAACATATTGACAATGGTACAATACTGCTGACTAGACTATAGAGCTTATTTGGTTTCACCAGATTTTACATGCACTCCATTTGTGGGTTTTTTTTTGTGCAGCTCTATATAGTTTTAGCACAGATATACATTCATGTAATCAACACCACAATCAAGAAATAGAACTGTTCCATCAGCACAAAGGAACTGCTTGTGTTGTTACCCTTTATAATCACCCATATCTCATAACCCCTCCAGTCCCTATCCCTGGTAACCATTAATCTGTTCTTCATTTTTATAATTTTTTCATTTCAAGAATTTATAATGTTATACATATGCAGTCATACAGTAGGTGACCTGTTGAGACTGACTTTTTTCATTCATCATAATACACTTGAGGTCCATCCAAGTTGTGTATATCAATATTCTGTTTCTTTACATTGCAGAGTAGTACTCATGGTGTGAATGGTTGGTTTAACTGCACACTCAACTGCAGGACATCTGGGTTGTTTCATTTGGTGCTATTACAAATAAAAGTGCTAATAACATCTGTACAGAAGTTTTTGTGCCAAAATAGGCTTTTATTTCTTTGGGATAGGTGTCCAGAGAAACAATTGCTGGGTAATAAAGAACATGTATGTTTAACTTTCGATCCCTGGGTCAGGAAGGTCCCCTGGAGAAGGGAATGGCAACCCACTCCAGTATTCCTGCCTGGGGAATCCCTATGGACAGAGGAACCTGGCAGGCTACAGTCCATGGGGTCCAAAGAGTCAGACACAACTGAGCAGCCAACACTTTCACTTTCATGTTTAACTTTATTAGAAGTTTCCAAATTCTTTTTTTCAGAGTGGCTTACCATTTTACATTTCATTCAGCAAGGTATGAGATATCCAGTTTGTATGCTCAACAGCATCTACTATTATCACTATTTTAAAAAATTTTTGTCCACACCCCGAGGCATGTGGGATCTTAGTTCCCCAACTAGATATCAAACCCATGCCCCCGGCATTGAAAGGCAGAGTCTCAATCACTGAACTGCCACGAAGTCCCCATTTTCACTATTATTTTCTTTAGCCATTCTGATAAGTACATAGTCATAATTCCTTGTGGTTTAAATTTGCATCCCCTGATTACTAATAAGATTCAATATTTTCTCCTATGCTGGCTTGCTATCCACATTCCCTCTTCAGTGCTATGTCTATTCATGTCTTCTGCTCATTTTCTAATTGTATTATTTTTTCCTCTTGACTTTATATATTCGGGATTCATTGCGATAAATGGTTTGCAAGTGATTTCTCTCAATAACATCTTCCTCTTAAATTGTTTGCACAGCAGAAGTTTTTCCTTTTGATAAAGTCCAGTATATTAACTTTTTCCTTTTAGGACCGTGCTTTTGGAGTGAAGGCCAAGAGCTTGTTGCCTAGCCCAAGATCCTAAAGATTTTTCTATGATTTTTTTCCCCTAAAGGTTTTACAGTTTTACATCTTACACTTAGCATCATGATACATTTTCAAATTTGTATAATGTATACAGTTTAGGTCAAAGTTCCTTTTGTTTGCCAACTGCACCAACATGATTTGTTGAAAAGACTATCTTTCTTCAGTTAAATTGCTTCTGTACCTCTGTCAAAATCAATTGGGCTGTCTTGATCACTGCAGCTTTATAGTAAATCTTGAAGTCAGGTAACGTGAGTCCTCCCAATTTTTCTTCTTCAAAATGGATTTAGCCTAATTAATTTTATTCCTGGATATTTTCATTCTTCCCCGTTCTGTCTCCTGCAAGAAGAAAGTTCTTGCAGAAGCTCTTCCTTTTCTTGTTGCAGCTCCTGCACATGCTGTTGGTTTTGCCCCAGTGTGTCCTCCAACCACTGTAGTAGAGGTCCGCTGACTGCTGACATCTGACTACACAGATTCTTGGTAAACACTGAGCCATTATGGATCCTGGTTACTGAGTCCAGATGTGTAAGGCTGTGGATCCTCCTATATGCATCTCGTTCTTCTTGGCACAGGATCTTGGGCAGCTCAACTGCTGACTCAAGGCATACTTTCCCAATGGTTATGTGAGGTACAATATGAATTGGGATTTCAATTCTCTCATACTCTGAGCTCTTTTGGGTCTGTATGGATTGAAAGCAAGTATAGGGTACCCGTCCAGTCTTTGTATTTTTATCTTCTATGAAGCAGGAAAATATAAGTCCTACAAAGCCTTGATCCATCATCTGTCTGGTACATGGCTTGTGTGCGGACATCAACATGTGAAGGCCAAACAGTTATATGGGGATGGGAGTGATACCAACCCACAACTCTCATGGGGCGACCCGTCAGTTCAGCCAACCTCTCTGCCTCTGTTGAGGCCGCAGACAGCTGCTCTGGAGAAATTTCCACGCGATCCTTCCTCTTATCGGAACGTCGCAGGATGATGACAGAATTCTGACGGTGTCAACCTCCCCAGTGCACAGCCCCATCACCTCTTCCTTCTCCGTGCTCAGAGCATGGTTGAGACACACGAGGAAGGCGTCCGACTCCAGATGGACCGCTTGCACTGCCTGCACTACCTGCACCGCCATCTTGGCCCGGCCCGTTCACATCCGCCTCCGGCCCGCTCGGGCCTGGCCAACCCGCCGCTGCAAGTCTATTTCTGTTTGGTAAATAAGTTCATTTGTATCATTTTTTTAGATTCCACGTATATGTGATATCATATGATATTTGTCTTTCTCTGTCTGGCGTTCTTCAGTTAATACGATAATCTCCAGGTTCCATCCATGGTGCTACAAATGGCAGTATTTCATTCACTTTTATAGCTGAGTAATATTCCATTGCATATTTATATATACCACATCTTCTTTATCTGTTCATCTATTGATGGACACTTAAGTTGCATCCATGTCTTGGCCATTGTAAACAGTGCTGCTATGAATATTGGGGTGCATGTATGTTTTTGAAGTATGGTTTTCTCTGGATACATACCCAGGAGTGGGATTGAAAGATAATATGGTAGCTCTATTTTTAGTTTTTTAAGGAGCTTCCACACTGTTTTCCACAGTGATTGTAGTATCTGACACTCCCACCAACAGTGTAGAAGGGTTCCTTTTTCTCCATACCCCTTCCAGCATTTATTAATATTATTTGTAGGGTTTTTGATGTCAGTCATTCTGACTGGTGTGAAGTAGTTTTGATTTACATTTCTCTAATAATGATGTTCAGCATGTTTTCTTGTGCCTTTTGGATGTCTGAATGTTTTCTTTGGAGAAATGTCTGTTTAGATTTTCAGTCTATTTTTTGATTGGGTTGTTTTTTTTGTTATTGAGTTGTATGAGCTGTTTGTATATTTTGGAGATTAATCCACTGTCAGTTGCATCATTTGCAAATATTTTCTCTCATTCTGTAAGGTTTTTTTTTTTGTTTGTTTGTTTTATTCATGGTTTTCTTTGCTATGCATTTCTATATACTAATGATGAAAGATCTGAAAGAGAAATTAAGGAAACAATCCCATTTACCATTGCATTAAAAAGAATAAAATACCTAGGAATAAACCTACCTAAGGAGAGAAAAGACCTGTACACCACAAACTATAATACATTGATGAAAGAAATCAAAGATGACACAGATGGAGAGATACACTGTGTTCTTGGATTAGAAGAATTAATATTGTCAACATGACTACCCAAGGCAATCTACAGATTCAATGCAATTCCTATCAAATTACCAATGGCATTTTCCACAGAATTTGAGCAAAAAATTTTAAATTTTATGAAAACACAAAATACCCCGAATAGCCAAAGCAATTTTGAGAAAGAAAAACAAGCTGGAGGAATCAGGCTTCCTGACTTCAGTGAAAAGTGAAAGTGTCTGACTCTTTGCAACCACATGGACTGTAGCCCACCAGGCTTTTCTGTCCATGGAACTCTCCAGGCAAGAATACTGGAGTGGGGAGTCATTCCCTTCTCCAGGGGATCTCCCCAACCCAGGAATTGAATCTGGATCACCTGCATTGCCAGCAGAATCTTTGCTGTCTGAGCCATCTGGGAAGGTTATACTACAAAGCTACGGTTATCAAAACCATATGGTACTGGCACAAAGACAGACATAAGATCAACAGAACAGGATAGAAAGCTCAGAGATACCCATGCACCTGTGGTCAATTGGTCAAGAATACAGAAGGGGTAAAAGAATCTCTTCAATAAGTGGTGCTTGGAAAACTGGACAGCTACATGTGAAAGAATGAAATTAGAACATTCTTTAATCCTATACATCATCTCTTTATTGGACTTTTTTCAATATTTGCAAACCTGGGCTACAGGTCCATGGGATCACAAAGAGTCGGACACGACTGAGCGACTTCACTTCACTCCCAGACCACTGTACTTACCCTCCATCCCATTCTAAGCACATCATGACAAGATTTATCTAACATGCATATAAATCATATTATTCCCCTTATGAATATGCTTAACTGTCCTTTTCTGCCATAAAGGCTTTCATAATTAGGTCCTTGTTGATTTCTCAATTTTCACACTTCCAACTTACCACTTATTTAAAGCAATATATAAACTTATTTGCAGTTTTTTTTTTTTTTTTAATTTTCAAATCTTTTCTTGCTTTTGTGAGAGCAAGACTGCTGTTTCCTCTATCTGGAACACCCTCTTCTTCCTGGAAAGCCTGGATAATACATACCCTTCATTCAACACTGAGTATTATCTCTTTTGTGAAAGTTTTCCACCTCTTCTGCTAAACTAGATTCCTTCATATTCTTTCCTTACAACAAGACAAATTTATTTATTAATTATTATTATATGTACACATGGCATGTAAATAAAACATGTAGTAGCTATAGTATACGTAGTGCATACCATCTTTAAGATGATGCTCTCTCTGGGTGGGGAAGAAGAAAGCACAACTATATGTATAATAATTTATTTCTTAAAAATGAAGCAAATGACAAAATATTCAAGTGAGATAAACTTAGGTAGTAGGTATGTGGCTGTTGGTTCAGTTTTCTCTGTCCTTTAAAATAGTTTTAATGTTTTCTTGATTTAAAATAAGTTGAAAAAATATGGTAGCTGATAGTTAAATCATGGGATAAATAACCAAGCAGATTGTAGAATCTTTGCTTTGGGAGATTAAAACATCTTTGTGTGTGTGTGTGTGTGTTTAAACTAAAACTGTAAGATTGCAAGTTATGGGTTCCAGCCACTCACTTGATACTTATGTTCCGGTTCACACTGAAGCAGCTCCATTTATAGAAAACTCAGCACCTTTTCAGGTAGCCCATCGGGAATTCCTGCTCTGTCCGACTTCTGCTTCTTGGAATGCATCGAGGTACTTGTGAGTTTTGTTTTTAATATTGGATTCTTTCTCAATATGATTTTATTGATGTCTTTTCATCATCCTGATCACCCTATTTAAGATACAACCCGGAGTTTTTCTTAGTGTATGAAGGAATACAGTCTACATAGACAAGAGCAGAGGTATTCATTGCCTCACTCATTTTAGACACTTTATTTGTCTGACATAATCTCAGGTTTATATGATACTTCTGAAAGTCAAATCACACAAATGGAGCATTTGAAGGTTGCTGCTGCCAAGTCTGATTCCCTCTGTTCTGTGTCTGTATACTTGAATCACTAGTCCTTGACATAGGTCAGGAAAACTGTTAATTGCATTAAAACATTTTGTTGAACTTATGATGAATCACTATTTCCCTTTGGATACTAACGTTGGATACGTTGGTACAACTGTAATATCATCGAGGCTTTCTTTTCCTGCATCTTGCCCCTAAGGGTATCATGAGAGAAGTTGGCAAAAGCTTTTCTGAAATCCAGCTACACTATTTCTACTCTGTTTCTCTGATCTCCCAGTGTAGTAACTCTGTCACTAGAAAATGAGGTTAGTGTGACAGGACTATTCTTAGTGAGCTCACGCTGAGTTTACCACTTCTTTTTCTAAGTGCTCAGAAGCCATTGTTCAAAAAAAAAAAAAAATTGTTCTAGAATCTTGCCCTGAATAGATGTCAAGCTCAGTGCTCTCTAGTTCATGAATACGCATTCTTCCTCTTTTTATAAATCCAAATGACACTTGCCTGTATCCAATTTTGCAGGAGCTCTTTTCCTCTGTGGGGTTTCTCAGGTGCCCTGACAATGATTCAGCCTTTTCTACAAGTTCTCTGAGGATGTTGAAACATACTCCTGGGCCAAGAGACTAGGATTCATTTGGCATAGCACCTTTTCATCTCCTCATTTACTTAAGAATACATCTATCACCTGTTTGAGAAGGGAATAGGAAATCGATTAACCCAAACTGTAGTTAAGGCCGTGTTTGGTTTGATGGCCAATATGAAAGTGAATCAAGAGGAAAAACTGTTATTAAAGGGCTTGAAGCATATGCAGCAGTATGCTAGGTGCTAAGAGATGAGAATAAGATAAAGCCAAAGCCCTGGTCTTAAAAATCTGATAGTCAAGTTGGGGGAAATAAAACTTGTAATACCATAACCCATATAGTTTAATTTGGGAACAAACAGGACTTCAAAGAACACAATCCTTGCCATCAAAAGGATTTAAAAAATAGCTCAAATTGTTTCCTTATATTCCTTAATACTATCAAAAAGGTATATTAAAAATATTTTAACTGTTGCAATATAACTATGGTGTCTACTGACTGCTTCAGTGGCCAGAGGTTGTGAGTAAATTCTGAACCTAGGTGTGTGCTAAAATGAACCTTCTTTTGTGGTAAAAATCTGTTTCTGAGTTGAAATGTTGATACAGTAATAGGAGAAGGAAGGGGATAATGGTTCTACTGCTAAGCCAGCCTCTCGTGCTACCAGGCTTGTTGGGAGGGGGAGGGTAGGAGTAGAGAGCAGGACAGCAGGAAGAATAGCTGAGGAAGAGAGCAACAATGCCTTGGTCCCTGGGGTCTTTCCTACGTGCTATCTCCTATGCAAAGCGATTCCCATCTATTGAGCACCTCGCTATGCCAGGAATGCCGTTAGGTACTTTAAATGCCATTTTACCTTTGTTCCTCCACAAGCCTGTAGGATAGTGCGTGCGTGTGTGTGTGTGTGTGTGTGTGTGTGTGTGTGCGCGCGCTCAATTGTGTCCAACTCTTTGCAACCAGATGGACTGTAGCCCACCAGACTCCTCTGTCCATGGGATTTTCCAGGCAAGAATATTGGGGCAGGTTGCCATTTCCTTCTTCAAGGGATCTTCCTGACCCAGGGATTGAACCCACATCTCCTGCATCTCCTGTATTGGCAGGTGGA